CCCCCTTGTCCTCTCCCTCCCTGCCCTTGTCCCAAGTCCCTCCCCAGCTTTCCTGGAGCCCCTTCAGGCACTGGAAGCTGCTCTAAGGTCTCCCTGGAGCCTTCTCTTCTCCAGGCTGAACACCCCAACTCTCCCAGCCTGGCTCCAGAGCTGCTCCAGCCCAAGGATCATCTCTGTGGCCTCCCCCGGATTCTCTCCAACAGCTCCATGTCCTTCTTGTGTTGGGGGCTCCAGAACCGGACACAGGTCTCCATGTGGGATCTCAAAGAGCCAAGTAAAGTGGGAGAATTCAGCATCACCATCCCCGGGACCCACTGCCCTTTATCCCACCTGACTCCTACTCAGGCCAGGACATGTCCCTGTCCCCATGGCGTGGCCAAAATGCCACGTGGGAGCCAAGCCTCCTGCTGCCATCCCTGTGCCTGTGACCTCTGCCTTCCTGCTCCTGGTGTCTCCACATCCCTGGAATCCTTGCATCCCTGTGTCCCCACGCCCTGGGAGGGGGTGGCTGGAGATGCCTGCCAAGCTGCCAGCTGGGGTGGCACCTGGATGTGACACCTCCTGTGGGCTGCACAGCCCTGCAGAGATGGAAAAGGGCCAGTGGGCTCTGCTCCCAGTGCCACCCGTGTCACCCCAGTGGCTCTGACCCAGACACCCTGTCCTGGGGCAGCAGCTCCTGTGGCTGGAAGAGCCACAGCTGCCCTGGCCCAGGGGCTGTTTGGGGAGGGACGGTCCCTCCCGTGGTCACAGCGGGTCAGGACAAGGCTGAGGATCCTGTTGGTGCCCCAGGACTCTCCTCTTTGTCCCCTTGGCAGCCAGGAGCACCTTTCTCTCCTGGTGCCACATCAGAGCAGCATCTCTGGGTTCCTGCTTTTCCTCGTTTCTCCTTGGAGCCTGGAGGTTGGAGCTGGGTCCTGGGAGCCTCCTTGGAGCTCTGCTGGTCCTTCCTTGGCTCTTGTCCTCTCCTCATGCATCTAGAGCTGGATGGAGAAGACAAACCCACCCACAACCTCCTTCTGATGGAAAATGGCTCGTTGATAAAGCCCCAAAAAATATAAGAATCCCACCCAGGCCTGGGGAAAAGGGGAATTTCACTTCTCTTCCAAGGAATGTGGGTTCCTGCGGGGGCAGGACAGCCCTGGGGACCAGCCCCTCTGGCTTCCCAGCAAACCAGTCAGGCAAACACCTCAAGTCCCAGCTTGCTCCTGGCCCAGCTGGAATGAAACTCTCCTCCCCGGGCCTGCTGAGCCCTCCCCTCCCTGCTGCCTCCTTCCCTCACCCCATCCCCCTCCCCAGGGGTCCCCCAGGCCCCTCTCTGTGCTTCTCATGGAGCCCTTGTACAATCATGGAATAGTTTGGGTTGGAAGGGACATGCAAGATCATCTAGATCCCACCTCCTGCATGGGCAGGGACACCTCCCACCAGCCCAGGTTGCTCCAAGCCCCATCCAACCTGCCCTTCAACACTGCCAGGGATGGGGCTTCCTTTTCTCCCTGGCTTCTTTCTGCTGGGAGGGACAAATCCTTCCCCTCCCCGAGTCCTTGCTCTGAGCTCTGTGCCCCATTGCAGGCAGGAGCCAGCCCCAGGATGTCCCCTCCCTGCAGAGCACCAGGGTGCAGGAGGTGCTGGAGCAGAGAGGGCACCCATGGGTGGGCTGGGGGCTGCTTTTCAGGCCTGGGGTTGGCTGGGAACCCTCTGGGTCACTCCAGCCATGGAGTGTCCTCCAGCTCTGGAGCTGCTTCTCCATCCTCTCCAGCTCCAGGTCCCTGCTGAGACCCTTCCTCTGGGCA